ATTATTATCTCTTTTTCTGTATTTCAAAATAATCTCAAATGATATGTCCATACATCTCATCATTATATATTTATAAATAATAATAATAGAATAATTTACAACAAATAAATTTAGCAAACTGCCCATAAATAGGATAAGGATAGTTTTGTAGCAAACTGCCCATAAATTTAGCAAACTGCCCATAAATAGGATAAGGATAAGGATAGTTTTATTTATTTTGAATTTTTTAATTCCATAACTAAATTTCCCTAAAATAAATAAATAGATATTAAATAATTTATCTTTTGTATTTCGTTTGATAAACATCCCTTTATTCTAAATTGAGCTGGATTTGCATTTTTTGTTGTTATTGCTCTCATTATTTTGTGTGAGTTGTAGGTTTTGGTCGCATATTGTGAAGAATTGAGGAGTCTCCCTCCCTCCACTAGTAAATAAGGGGTCCAACACCCACTCTTTTTACAGGCATAAGTGGAAACAAATATTATGTTTAAAATTTTTTTCATGATATTAGTTCTTCAATTGTTGAGACTCTTAATATTATGTTTAAATTTTTTTTCATGATATTTGTTCTTCAATTGTTGAGAAAGAGACTGATTAGATGTCAAATTAGATAGATTGAGAAGAGTCATAAAGTTCGAGAATAGTTTTTTTTTAAACTTTGTGTCTATACAACGACATTCTTTCAACCACCGATTTTAAAATTTAAGAGACAAAAATGAATACCACCTCCCTGTACAAAAATAAATTGTCTCTTTATAAACAATCCCTACGCTTTAAATATAAACTAATTCACTATCTCTCTAGCAGTTGAGCACAGGGTATTAGAGGTGTATTTAATTATTGTGATTAAGTTGTATGACAAGCAGTAACAATTTTTTTTTTCTTACAATGCTACATAACTTTATTGCTCAAACAACTTACTTGCAAGAAACATCCAACAAAAACAGAAAGCCTAAGGGAGTCAAGTCTGTCACCAAACGCTCAGGCCTAAAAAAACCCCTTTTAGCTAGGGAATCAACAACATAATTGGCTTTTCTATATACATATTTATAAAATATGTCCACCTAGTTTGCTAAATTCATAATTTGCAGCCAATGCCCACGGGACTCTCTATTCCTTGTTAAACCATTTTATGACGTTCACATAATCACCTTCCTCTATAACTATAGTGGAATTGCCATCCAATCACTCAACAAGAATCTAGATCCCTCTCCATACCGCTCTCTAAGAAGCTCATTGAAAAAGTACTAAGAATCTACAAAATTCCTTGAGTACTTCGGCCTACAAAATTATAGTAGCTTTCAAATTTGAGACTAGAGAGTTCGGGCTTGAGATCATTCCCTCATAAACCTCTTATTTCTCTTTGCCCATAGAGTCCAAATGGTGAATAAATGAACCCTTATTTATTACAGATTGGTGAAAGCGATATGCAAATTTTTTAAGAACAAAAAAATTAAAATTTCAATTTATAGTCTTTCATTTCATGAAACCTCCGGGTTCTAAAGATAAAGTATTGACAGCCTTGCCTTTTGCTGCTTATGTGACAATATTGGCTATTCTTTATAGAAGTGCATCTTGTTGTAGGGAGCTAAACATGCAAGCTGCTTGTGTTTTGTTGGGGTAGGGTTTCACCATATCCTTGGGCGATATACCCATCTAACCGAGAAAATTCCACATGGGTTAAGTGCCCAAACCATGGTTTCTATCTATTTGAATCGAGATCTAACCGGTCAAGAAGCTAAGTTGATTGGGGACATGGTCCTACACTTATTGCGGAAGGTCCTTTTAGAGGAGACCGGTGGGAAGAAGCTTTCATAATCATGAGAAAGCAGAATTCTAAGAGTGATAATGAGTAAAGTGGCCCAGCTTGGAGAAAAACTGAAGAGTCCGGGCCACAAACCGTCACCCCAGGGCGGGCCCACGGCCAAGGGGGTCAAGTCGGGCATGGGCCAATGCCATGACAGGGCCGGCCCAACCAAACCTGTGTTTTCTTTTTTCTTTTCTCAAATTTTTCGATCTTTGAATCTATTAGATCCATCCGTGCCCACTCCAGGATTGGGGCAAGGCTCCTTTAGCCCGGTTCTTGGCAAGCTTGAGCCAGGTCCTGTACGATTTTCTCCTGCAGGAGCATAAATACACGGCCCCACAAAATCATTTTTTCTTGCAGCCAAGGAGCCATCATTGCTATCTCTATGTTTGGGTAGTTAAATTGAGCTCTTTTGCCATGGACCAAGAAGAGGTTAGCACCAGTGGAGATTGAACCAGAGTTCCCATAAGCCATATGCTTCTTAATTCTTTTTCTCTAATTACCGTTAATTAAGTTGATTCAGTTTTAATAGTTTGGTTTCGCTTTGCACGATGATTATTTGGATCCTGAAGCAATTTATCTCAACCATGTGTTGTTCATAATGGAGGGATGTCGTCGAATACAACATTTTGCTCAACAATATAACCCATAATTACTTTTCCAATGGATATTTGATTAAGCACGTATACTATGTTCCCTCGGGAGCATAATTTATTTCTATTCGAGAGGATTTTTTCAATCTCAAATTTAGAGAACCACTTTGATCATTCTCAAAAGAAAAAAAAATTGAAATTTAATTTTTCTAACACTTGAATCTCCTCTTAAATAAATTTTTTCTAGTGCTTAGAGGGTGCAACTGGGAAAATTCTTTTGCTGAGGTAACTCTATGTGCTAAAGAGGTTATATCCTCGAAGTTTGAAGTCCTAAAGTTAATCCTATGTGAGGTTTTCACCGGAGGAAGTGAATTATATATCCCGAAAATTTGAGGTCCTAAATTAATCCTATGTAGAGTTTTACCCCGGAAATTTGAGGTCCTAAAATTAATCCTATTTAGAGTTTTGCCTGATACAGTAAATAGCCAGTATACTCCCAAATTGATTTGTTACTTCCTCCTTTGGTTATTTCTATTATCCTCCCATCTTTTACTATATTAACATCTTTTTGTGAGAATGGAATTCATTTGCATCTTCCTGTTCCATCGGTACCTTTCATTCCACATTTGGTTTCATTTGTCTTGTTTATTTATTTCATCCTTTCATACTTCATCATTTCCCTTCACCCTGTCCATGGGTTTTGGCATCTTAATTTAGTATTATTTTTGCCCATTGCGTTTCTCTTTTGAACTTTTTATCTTTCCTTCAAAGCAGCATTAGGTTTTCAAACACTTCATTTACATATGGTCTCGTATCCACTGGGGCCTCTCATCCTTTTTAGCATCACTCATTTTTATCAAGATCCTTCCCCTTTTTTCTTTTCTCCTCTCAATACATAATTCTTTCCCTTTCTCCATTTTCTCAATACCCTCTCAATACATAAGTTTCTTCTTTTGAAAATGATTTATGTTCTTTTCCACTTACCATATTCAAACGCCCCTCTTTCCGCTTTTACATAACACTTCCCATTCTACTCAAGTCCCTTGATTTCCTCTTTCCAAACAAATTTCTACCACTAAACGTTTAATATTTTCACTTCACTATTATCTATGCTCTATTAATCCAATTAGTTATTAGTTGAAAAAAGACTTTGATAATGATCTATATTTGATCTCTTCTATTTTTTTTCACGTTTTTTTTATTGTATCGTTTGATGCCTAATCTATTTTTTCAAGCTTTATTTGTTGTTGTTGTATGCCTAGAGTCGACATCACCTTAGAGAAAGTAATACAAGAAAACTAATTGACGGAGCACCGATATTTGTCACAGAAGGTGAATCTAAGTGGCCCAGAGGGCTTCCAAAAGCTCCAAGATTTCACATTCACTTTAATCTTTGCTTTTGGTAATCAACTACATGTCTTTTAATTTTGTTTGCGGTCCATCGATATCATCTATGTCAGTTTTTAAAGAGTTCGGGGAGTCGGCCGACTCACTATTCTTATTCCGTCTCCCTTCAAAATGTATCTCAAAGACGTCTTTTCGATTCAAAAATTTAGATTTAAATTTAAATATTCCCAATCATCTAAATTTAACATCTTTTTAAAAATATAAATATTATTTTTTGAACTCCTCTCTTCACCATCCATTTTAACACTTTTAATGGATATATCCATCTTATAGATAGACAAGGGACCACACAGTAATAGGTGAGTCAGCTGATTCACCAAAACCGTGTCCATTTTAAAAACCCAGGACTTTTTAAATGGTAGAAAATATTCATATACTTAGTTTTTATTGGTTGATAACCTCATACTTAGTTTTTATTGGTTGATAACCTCATACTTAGTTTTTAGTGGTTGATAGATGTTCATATCCACCAAACATGCAATTTCATATACTTTTAATATGGAGGGCATTTCGCTAAATATAAATTTTTTAAAATAGTTCAAATAATCATCTCCATCAATAAGGCTTACATAATGGCACCTCGCCCTCTCTCTTCCTCTCTCTTAAAAAACCAAGAAACAAAACGAGGTTTGAGCACCATTGAATAAAAAAAACATGAGGTCTGAAGATCTTAAACAATTTAAATAAACAAATGAATGTCTCACAGTAATTACTCATCCAGGTTTTGAAAGGTGCAAGAAAATAAATTCACCGCAAATTATTTAGGCAAATCAATAAAGTTCAAAATAAGAGATTTCTTAATGATCATATTCATAAAAAAAAAATTAAAATTTTCTAACACTTATATCTTGCCCTTCAAAATTTAAAATAAAAATTTCAAGTGAATCTTCAGGCATTGAATTTTCGATCCAAAGAATCCAATTTTCAAGTTCTTTTCTTTTGTTAAGTCTTGCATTAAATTTTCGATCCAAGATTCCAATTTTTATTTTATTTATTTATTTATTTTTAAGTTTTGCATATGGATTGGAGAGCTTATATCCCCAAAATCTAGCATCAAGAAAACCTATTTTGGGTTCTGCCCGAGGGAGTAAATGGACACTCTGCTCCCTCAGGTACTCCATAAGATAAAGAAATCGGAAAAACGACATCAAATAACCGAAAGTGCAACGAGTCAAAATAGCGCCACCCTGAAGGAAAATAACGACAAAAGTTAGTAAATACGCCTTCCAAGAACAAAATGTCGCACCACGTCAATTTACCCTGCAAAAAAACAGAAGAGACCACACGTGTCATGTAAAGAATCCTGCACGTACAAAGATCGAAACAAGAAAGCTTACACGTAGCATCAACCAAAATAACCATACCGTTCACACGTGAGCCACTGCACCACAAAAGATACCGCGCGGAAATCGCGCCTAACGGGAGACACGTCTTACGGTATGCGTGTCTATCGGACACGGCCCAGACACGCCACGGAGCATTCAAGGACTACACGACAAACGGATGTGACGCACGCATCGGAAGGCCAATGCAAACCAGGATAGAGATGCGACGACGGTTACGACCGATGTGACTGAACTGTCGAATCGGACGGTAGGACACGTTGGGGAGGTGGATCGGACGGTTCAGACGGCAAGATGTGTACTCGGAGATTCAAACATCGAAACCCTAAAATAGCGGGTCCCAAGAGAGATGTACTGCCATCTCTGCAAATTCGAGAGAGGTCAAAACCCTAGAAAGGAGACGAAGAAACTCCAAGAAGAGCGGTTAGGAAGAGGTTTTCCCTGCAAATATTATATATGTTTGGTGCTTATGGCGTAATGGTAACTGCCAACTGCCATGTGGAAGCCGAAAAACCAGTGGCCAAATGCTCTGTTATGTTTTGTGCACGTTAATCGGAAACCAGATGCTCTGTTTTGTGAACTTCAATCGGAACCTAGGGTACGAAGAACAGTGATCTTTTTGCTCCCATTCTGTAATTTTAACGGCGGAAAAAATCTATAGGGCAAATAACGAGCCTAGCTCGATTGCTGTGCTTTAATGGCGGAAAGCCTCAAAAGAATCATATCCAAACTTGTTGCATTAACCAGGGAGCAAAAATCGGGAATCTTTCAACAATTTACACTGAGAATTACACAGCAGAGGGGGATCAAGAAACGATCTCTGCATTTGATTTTCTTTTCTTTAACTTCTTTAATATCCTCTATTTTTTTATTTTTTAATGCTTCTTTTTTCTTATTGCCAGTAATTTCCGTTATGTACCAGATACTGATTTCTTGGGTTTCGGTTACCCTTAGTCAAGCATCCATAGTACTGAACAGACGGGGCCGCCATGACCAAAGCCTCCGAGGATTTCCCGGCGACTGGAACTATTAGGCGGCCGATAAAATTCGCCGGAAGATGGACGCAGCGGTAGGATTCCCCAGGAAAATGTGGTTTTCCAGCGATTGAGGACTGTTGCTTTAGAATCACAGGCGTTTTAGGTTTAGGCGGTGAGAGAAAGGCCCGGACCTTTAATGACGACCCTCTCTCTCTGTTAACTCGGTCATATTCTTCAATGACATGAGCCAGGTCTTCATCAGAGGTTACGGAGACCAGAGCATCAAGATCCTCAGTAGGGAGCTGACACCTCAGGGTAATGGCTACCTCGCCACAAAATTTCCTCAGCTTCTCCATCAGATCTGTAATGAACAGAGAACGCATATCCGTGAACACACAGTAGAAACCAGAAAAGAACACAATCTCAGAGCACAAACCCTAAAACTAAGAGACGTCAATCAATAGAACGTCTGCACCAGATCGATGGATCCAAACCCTAACCCTAGCTCCGAGAAAAATTGAAAAAAATCTGAGTAGAAGGTATGGAAACGGACCTGAGAAGTGAACAGAACGATCAACAGCAAGGACACGGGTGAAACCTCCAACATAACGGAGCTTTCCATCAGGGTGACGAGGCTGGATACGGCCTCCATAGCTGCACAGGAATTTCACGGTGTTGATCCCGGAAAAATCGCCGGAACTTTCACCGGAAGAACTGACCATACTGATATTCTCCTACGGAACAGAGAAACCGGAGAAATACAGAACAGAAGAGAGAGAGAATCTAAAAAAAAAGGCAGAAGTAACAGAAACCAGAAGAGATTGAACCAGAAAAACTCGAAGACAGGGTAGAGAGAAGAGAAGTGAGAGAAAGAGACTACGGCGCCTAGAGAGAGAGAGAGAGAGAGAGAGGAGAGAGGAGGGGATTGAGCTTGTTCTTTCAAGCCTTAGGGAGGGGGGTGGGGTGGGGTATTTATAGAATGTGGAGGGAGAGGGGTTTACGTTTCAACAAGGTTCAATGGACCCAGCCTCCTATCTTTTCTTTTTTTTTATATCTTTTTTGAGGAATAAAATTAAAATAAGGAAATAACGGGAAATTACTTTTATTTTTTTTCTTTCTTTTTTCGAATTTCCGGACAATTCCCGCAACTTCGTTCCCTTGAGGAACCGACTTTGCTTACGTTGACATCTGCCTTTCTTTTTTCAAAAAAATAAGCCACTTGGCCACCCAGTTATCGAGTAATCCACCTAAGTTTTATCTTGCTCAACAAACAATATTGAATTTGAAATTATCAATTGAATTTGAAATTATCAATTACTTAAAAGGGCAAGCTCTTTATGCTTCCCCCGTACCACAAAACTTATATACTTCTTCTTATCCAATTGTCCATTTTGAATGGGGAGTTAAGATTATCCCAATCACAATATTATATCTTTACATTATTTTATTTTTAATTTTTTTTATAAACTATTTTGACATTAAATTTTGGACGTCCAATCATCTATTAAACTCACACTAACGAAAAATATAAAAAAAAATATCTAATGAAATAAAATAACCGATATACCTTTAAAAGTTTGAAGAGGTATTTTGATCATTATATTTTATCGAAATACTATTTTTAATATTTTTTATAGGTGTGCCCCAATGAGAAGATAGAACGTCCAAATTTCATATTCATACAATTTGTATAAAAAAAGCTAAAAATAAAATACTTTTAAACGTTGGGTTTAAGACCAAACGGTGAATGGCTGTCTTGATCAAAATTGGACGGCTGGATGGTAGGGGAGCATAGATATGTTGTAAGAGAAGTATAAAACCCTTTCCCCATACTTAAATTAAACTATTTGGTATCTGTCCATATTTGTTAAGAATTGTCAACTAAGAATGTAGTACTCCAAAAAATTGACATCAAATTCCCTTTGTAAATACAAAAATGTATATTAATAATGGTTTATTTGAAAATTTCAAGAAAGGCAAATTTATAATTTAAATTTATCTTTAAAGTTCAATTATTAATTAAAAAATCAAAAGGACTTTTTGAAATTGTGGTTTGGAGGGATTTTAAAAGTATAGGAAATATTATGATAAATGGTTATTTTTTAATGTATAAAAATATTTTATGACAAATAATTTCAGAGTGCTAAATTCTAAATTCACCACTAGTATGGTGCATTATAGAATAACCCAATTTTGAATATCAAAAGATAATATGTTTTTACAAATTTATAAATTTAAAGATATTATTTTTAAATTTTATAATTTAAAATTTTTTAATTAAAGATAATAATTTGCGTTCATTTTAAATAGCCTATCATCTTTTTTTTATGAGTGTGTTGTAATTTATCTAATTAAATTTAAAATAAAGGGTGTAGTTTATATTGAGTTGCGGCTCTAAACAATCAAATTAGAACCTACCTTCAAATAGTATTGAGAAATATGGGTTCAATACTTGAAATCTTTGATTAGCCTTAAAATATATTTTTATCTTTAATTATAAAATGTAAAGTTTAAAATATAATGTAGATTGAACTTATCTATGGAAACTTAAAAACCATGAAAATTAACGGTCCAAAAATGCGTTACAAGATGTACTATTTCCAAAACTTGAAATCCATTTTTTTCTCAAGTCCATGCATTCTGATGTCGACATGATCATTTTGAGGATATTTGACCATTAAAACAACATCTTCAAGTGAAATTTTTTAGGTAGGCTCTAATTTGATTGTTTAGAGCCTGGGTAAACTTTTCCCAATAAATAGTTAAAAGCTATGCAACCATTGTAGCGCGTCAATTTCTTTCAATGATATTTCATATATCACTGGCGCTGATATGCACACAAGCAACTCAACGACCGGCTTTGCTCGTAGCTACACTTTCTGCTTTGGGTGGAAAACTAAACATATAAGTGGCCAAGTAGGGACAAACAAATGAATTACTGTAATAGCAAATGACCTGCCCCCAACCATAGACCCGACCAAGATCCGGATATAGGTCTAAAATTAGATCTTATGAGTTAGGTCTGGGTACGGGTGGCAATGGATCCGACCTGGGACCCACCGCGTAAAAGCTCAACACGGGTCCGGGTATGGGTCCAACATTTGGAGCCGGTGGATTGAGTCCGGATTCAAAACCTAGACCCAAGCACTATTTGAGTCTAGGTCCAGGTCAAGTTGGACCCGACCCGTTTTCGTAAACCGTTGGATATAAAATGCTTCAAGTCCTATTCGTTTGGGTGTATTAAGGATTATATACAATAAGAACTCGTAGTCATCTTTTGTTATTAAATGATAAATCAAACGGCTTGAAAATTAATGGCAGGTGATTGTGACCCTGTTACCAATAATATAGGTATATGATGGTAACCAAAAAGCACAAAAAAAAAAAAGCTCATAGTGAGGGTGGCAATGGACCCGAACAAACTCGGGACCCAACGGGTATGAATATGGGACAAACTTTTGGACCCGACAAGTTGGGTCTGGGTCCAAAACCTGGACCCAAATACTATTCGGGTTTGGGTCCGAGTCCAACTGTACTTGACTCATTGCAACCCCTAGGGCAAGGTGTAAATATTGGACCCAAACAATATGCAAGTCCAGGTCCAGGTCTCGATCCATATGGACCTGACCCAAACCCAACTCAAACAGTGTTATTATTTAAAGGGTCCGGTTTTTATGTGGGCAAGCCTGCATATGCAAAAATGCGGGCCACCTAATAAATCTTTTTTTTTTCAAAAAAATAAATTTATTTTTGAGGTGGATCTTAAGACTTAATTTTTAAAAAATCTCTAACATAGAGATTATAAATATAAATAAATAAATTTTAAAAAGTAGAAATAATAATTATAGTAAAAAAACATTTGGACAGTTAGTTTCCATTTTTTTTGGATGGAACACCTACTTGCACATCTTTAAGCATCAATCTTAAAGATGGATGCTTTATACTTTTTGGACCGCATATGTAGAAATGCGGTCTAACCAGCATGAAATAATTTTTCTTATTTAAATAACATCGAATAATATTTTATTTTTGAGTGGGGTCCAATTGAGTCCGGTCGGGTTGGGTTCAGACAAGTCCGGTCGGGTCCCCTAAGTGTTTTTTCAGGTCTGGGTCTGTATCGAGGTCCGGCGGGACCCATGCCGGATCCGTTGCGACGGCCAAGTTATGGTCAAAAGTGGCAAATCTTCGGTCTCCTTTTAAAGATTGAAATCTCATTCTTCCCAAAGATTTGGCCGACTAAGCGAAGACACGCGTTGTTTAGAGTACAAAGTTGGAATATGATTTGGAATATTTTTGCGGCCTACTTTACTTTTCTTATTTCTTATTGTCAATTGAGACGAGGTTGTTGTCCGAAGCCGGAACTCAATTAAAAAATGCGTGTCTAACTTTTGAAGCTTGGACATATTCCACCACCAATAATTTTAATATTTATGTACGGGCTCGATGCGGTATTACCGCAAGGTTTAGGTGGAAATTTATCAAAATATATTTAATATTTAAATCATTTAAGAATGGCGGTGTGCGGTTTGTACAAGGCTAAGGCTCTAAACAATTATTGTAAGATGGACATTCAAATAATATCAAAAGATGTTGTTTTAGTACCGGAATCTTTAGGATGGTTTGAAAATTCATTTTCATTTGTAATTATAAAATTTAAAGCTTTATAGCGTGAATCAAGCTGATCTATGAACACTTGAAAATTTTGATAATTGATGGTCTAGAAAATGCATTACAAGATGCACTATTGCCAAATCTTGAAATCCATTTTTTATTATGTCCATATATATTGAGGTCGATATGATCGATTTGAGGATTTTTGGGTATCGAAATGACCTCTTCTAGTGAATTTTTGAGGTGCTCTTTGTTTAGGGCATCACCCTTTTATATACTTTTTTCAACCATGAGTGGAGTTTGTAAAGTGTCCACCTTATACTATACAAGTAAGGTGCTCTTGCAAATTTCAGTGGAAGATGTAGTTTTGGATTTAAAAACCATATGATGGCTTCAAAATTCATGTTAAACCCTAATAATAAAATTTAAAACTAAAAAATTGATGCATATTGAACATATCTATAAACACTTGGAAATCTTAAAAATAGACGAAACCAATAACTTGTTACAAGATACATTAGTTTGATGACATAGAATTCTTCCTCTATTGATTTATATCCATATATCTTGAGTTGAGAGGATCAGTTGGATTTTTGAACTTCAAAATACATTTTTCGACTGAGTCTTTGAAGCACACTTTACTTCTATAGTAAAAGGTTGCAACCTTATATAAAACATTTTCCTTTAACATTATATCCTAAGTATATCAAAGTATATTTAGAAACCCAAATTGATGTGTAATGTGATAAGCTATTTGAAATTTGATCAAATGAATGATAGGCAATTTGAAAGATGTTAAATATAATTCAAAGCATAGGTGTAGTTTGATAAATTCTCATATTTTTAACACTTATGATGAGCTCGTATTCATTTGTTTTACCCTTTGCTTTAACAATGTAAGACTTTGGAACAACCCAAAATACAAGAAATATAATATATTTAGGCAGTTCAAAAGTTGAACATGTAACCTGCCAGAATATTTTTTTAAAAAACAAAGATATATTTGGTTAGTTCAAAAAGTCCAACTTTTAAATCGCGAAAAGAGAAAAAACCCGATGCAATTGCATGGTTTGGAAATTTGATTATTGAACTTTGCATTCAAAAGTTCAACTTTTAAATTGCCCAGACATGTAAATCTTTTTGTGTTTTAAGTTGTTTGAAAGTTGGACATTCAAACCACCTAAATACAATTTTCTGTTTTTGTAGTTTTTGTTATTAGAAAGTTAAGCTTTCAAACCAAAGTAACATGAGAATCAAAAACTCAAAAATGAACGTCATCTTTACATACAAAAAAAAAATGGGCCTTGAAGCAA